GGGGCCTGTTGCGGGGCAATGCTCTAGAGGAAGGGCTTGCTGCAGGGAAAAAGCTTCTGAGGTAGGGCTGCGGTAGGAAAATTTTCTGGAGAAGAGTCTGCTGCATGAAAAAGCTCAGAAGTAGGGCTTTAGAGGAGGGTCTGCTTCAAGAAAAAAAGAAAGAACACCTGGCAGTGTTTTTTCTTCCCGAGGTCTCGCACCACCGCCTGTTGAGATGTGGCTCATCTTAACGACAAACCAGGTTTTCTCCATGGCGGGGACAGAGTCAACGCCGCTGATGATGGTTACAACACCTTTTTTTACTAAACTTGCCTAATTTATGGGCAATGATATCCATTCTAAAAGCGAACTTCTCAAACTTAAAGAAACCAATGGGTCCATTTCAGATAATGGTGTTAGTGTTGTCAAGAGTTGCGTTGAATGTCTCAATGAAATCTGGTCCAATGTCAAGACCCATCCATCTATCAGGGATGGCACATACTGGCACAACCTTGTTGTTAGCATCAACTGCAAACTTGTTTGCCACATTGACATCAGAGGGTAACAGGAGTTTCACTCCTCACAACTTTACCTTCTCAATAACAGTTATTGCTAGACCAAGTTTATCTTCCTCAACAAGAGAGGAACCAACATTATGTTCTCGTGCCTTGTAGAATGTGAAAACAATTCCTTCAAGAAGAGCGACTCCATCACCCCAATCTTTGTTGAAACCTTTGAACCACTAACAATGGTAGGAAATGACCGCTTCAGATTCGCAGCAACCCTGACAAGGTAATCAAGTTCCTTCTGCATGAGGAAGCCAACAACAACATATTTCAAGTACTTTGTAACAACCTATGTTGAAGCGTGAGCTTTGTGAACAATTCCAAAGGCATCATTAACATAGAGATCGGTAAGAGAATCAAGTTCCTTTGCAAACTCTTGATCATTCTTCTCTTCCTCCTTATAGAATCTCACATTTTCGAGGAGGATGACACCGCCATTAGGTAATGCAGCTACGATTTTCTTTACTTCCTCGCCAATTGAATCATTGTCCACCTCAACGTTAACTCCAAGAAGTTCTGATATCCTAGGCACAAGCGGCTCCAAGCTGTATTTCAGAGTGACACCTTTAGGGCAGCCCAGATGACTGCAGAGAATGTCATTGACTCTGTGCTCCCTCAAGTAATTGATGGTGGGAACGACAGCCTTAATCCTAGTATCGTCGGTGATCTTGAGGTTGTCATCGAAAAGAATGTTTAGATCTATCCAAACGAGCACCCTTTTCCCTTAAGACCTGCGCCTTTCAGATCGCTAATGCTTATCTTCTTTACCATTCTTAACTCTCTAAAACATGGATCCGACTGGAAGAAGATAGAGAAGTAAATCAATGCTTGGAATGCATGAATTTCAGCGCTGACACGAAGGAGATCTGAATGCAGCGAAAAGAGTATAGGAAGTTGCATCTTCACTAAGAAAGTCTGCAGGAATCTGCGGTATGCAGGAAGTTTTCCAGCAGATAGAGACGATTTTCGGCTACTTGAGGGAATTCTGGCTGCTTGAGGAAGGCTGCAGGAGAAACTTCGGTGGTAGGAAAGGCTGCATGAGGAAATTTCAGTTGCAGGGCCTGTAAGGAGTGGAACTTTCTGACAG